CAGTATAGATATATATGATGAATTTCGTAAAAGAATTCATAGAAGTTCTGCAAATTCAGAGGGTATAACGTCTGTGACCTCTTCAAATGGAACTAAAGCTCTCAAGAGTAGTGATAGTCATTTAGAAGGATTTAAGTCATTTTTGTTGGAGGTTAGTGAATTTTACAAAAAACTGATTGTAAAAATCAAGAGATTATATGGTCTCCCAGAAGAAATTTCCTCCCATACAAGGAGTGACAGCAGCTCTATTTCAGTCGAGCCAAAGAAAATGCAGAAATGCCTATTTTTATGCCATCGGTTTTATGTTTGTCTTGGGGATCTTGCTAGATATAGGGAACAGTATGAGGTAATGGATTCCCAGAACCATAACTGGTCAGTTGCAGTTAACCACTACTTAGAAGCTACAATGATTTGGCCAGGTGGTGGAAATCCTCAAAATCAGGTTTTTCGTTTGTTGCCTCTCTTTTCTGGATAACTTCATGAATTTTCTTTCCCTGTATTTGAGCGACATTGTTTAAACTTGTAGTTGGCAGTATTGGCGACATATGTTGGTGACGAATTTCTTGCTTTATATCACTGTGTTAGAAGTTTAGCTGTCAAGGAGCCTTTTCCTGATGCCTGGAATAACCTTATTTTACTCCTCGAAAGGGTAATAACAACACTAATGATCCGTATGTTGTATGTTATCCGGTTCAATTTGCTGATAAATTTTTTATTTAAAAAAAAAACTGCTGATAAAGTTTGGTATCGGCTCAGTTAGTTCTCAAATGCTTGTTATGATACTCCAGAACAGGTCTTCTCATCTGCATTCTCTGTCTACTGAGGCATGCTTTGATTTCTCAAAACCATCTGAACGAAGCAGTCTTGGGATACAAACACAGCCATGTGGTGATTTCTCAAATTGCAATGTATCGAGTACTGGACGAGAATGCTCTTTGCAAGCAAATTTATGGTCACTTATAATCCGAACAATGAGTTTCTTTTTCATAAAATTCAGGTATTCCACATAGATTTATAATTCTGATTCATAGTTTCCATCCTGACTAATATTTTAAGAGGATGCTTTTATAATTTCATGGTTCTTTGAGTATGATCCTTTACTCTGATCCCATCTCTGTTTTCCCAAATCCACATAAGAGTAACATAATCCACTTTAAAAAAATGATGAGTTTGATCTTTATTTAGTTCATTTGTTATTTTTAATATGAGGTTACAAGTTTGGTTCGAGATCAATAGAAAAACACATTCAGAGAGTATGGATGATTTCACAAACTCGGAATTTGTTTTCATTCCTTCAGCGCTGGTAGCAGTTTCTGCATCTAAATGTTAGCCAATAGTTCTAGTTTTTTCCATATGAGATTGGAGGTTTAACCGACATGGAATTTGAGACATCATCCAAGAATGGATCTTATAAATAATTCCTTCATTCTTGAAATATCTTTAAATCTTCTGTCATCTTTTATTGTGACAGGAAAATTCTCAATATTCTTTTGCAAAAGAAGGAAAAAAAAAAAAGAAAATTGTGTACCATCAGGGTGGCCTCCTATACGAGAGGGATGAATGTGGATTTAATATGGAAAATTAAAAAGCTAAAACGTGTTTTCTCTCTTTCAAAACTGAGCCCCAATAGTTCAGAAACAAAGTAAAGTACATCAGCTCTGAGACTAAAATTACATATATAGCATTGCAGGGGAAAAAACCTTCAACTAGGTTGTATCATACCGCCTTATTTACGATTCCTTGATCTTATGAAATCAAGACATATATCTTTATGATATTGGCAGACTGGAACTTGCTCAGCTTTTCTTGTTAACTACAATGGTCTTCGGACATTATCTTTAGATTGTTAATAGATAAATATTCTTGGTTGATTTTGAAAGTAGTCATATGCTTGTCTCAGATATAATTCTTGACAATGTGAATGGCTAATTAGTTTTCATTGAATTGAAGATATTTGCTATGTGGATAATCGCAGGCTGATTGCAGGAAAACCCAATTCCGGAAGATGGATTGAGTAGATAAAAAGTTCTGTGTGATATAATAAAGTTAGTTGAATAATCAATATAGAATCTTAAGGCAATAAGATTGATCAAATTGTTATATCATGCTTTAATGAAATGTCTTCATGGAACTTATTATGTTTCCCATTCTACCTTTAACTGCTAGATATGGGTATTTGAGATTTGCACTCTGTTCAAATTCCTGATATTTTCTGATGCTTTTTAATGTGAAGCGGTTTGGATCAGTTCCCTTGTACTTTTGCATCCACTATGAGAGTGCTGGATGCAGTGATGGAACTAAATGATACAAAACTAAAAGCCATGTTGGAGTCCTACCAGCTTATGGATTCAGCAAGAACAGGCCCTTTTCGTGCTCTTCAAGTTATTTCTATCTTCATCTTCATCTTTCACAATCTGACTGATTCCTCAGAAGCAAAAAGGTCAGAGGACAAAAAGGACATGCAGCAAGCTGAGTTGACACGATTAGCATTAACGACCACATTTATTTTCATGGGACGGTTTGCTGATAGATGCTTGAAGGCAAATCCCTTGGATTCTTGCCCTCTTTTACCTGCTATCCTTGTCTTTGTGGAGTGGTTGATGACCGTGCTTGACGAAGTAGAAAGATATGCATCTGATGATAAAGTAGCAAGTGCAATTTCCTACTTTTTTCATGCTTTTGTTAATCTTTTAGAGCAGTTGAACATTAAGGGTGAAATTCTGTTGCCTGGAAGAACTCTATGGGAAGATTATGAGTTAAGAGGCTTTGCACCATTAGCTCTTGCACATACATCACTAGATTTCTCAATTCACTGGAGACATGCTGACAGTTTTGAAGACGGGATTAAAACCCGTGTAAACCGTATAGTTGGTGCGGCAATGAGGATTGCTGATAGATCAAGTGGTTCTCGAATGTTGATTGCCTTCAACAAATCAAGAATGAAATTCTACGCAGCAGAGAAAAATGTGATTTCAGGGAGAAAAGAACCAGGCTATTTGGAGTCTGCCTCTGATGACTCTGATCTCAAAGGAAAGGCAAAGCAGCCCAACAAATGCAATTCCAAAGCAAAAGAAGGATGTAAGGATCAGATTCTTGGTGAAAATGCAAGCGACCTCTATACTAATGGCAAATCTGTTGTCACAGAAGATGAAGAAGTCATTCTCTTTGAGCCCCTAAGAAGACATAATTCTGCTCCACCCAATAATTCTGTCAATACAAAAGACCCAGCGCCTCCAAAAGATGTGGAGGATCAACCACTTCCTTCAGATGAATGTTTGCGCCATGCGACATCATTGCTTATAGCACAAAACCAGGCCCATGACCATCGATCAACATTTGATTTTGACATCTCTAATTTTAGGGGAAATATTACATTTAAGCAGCAGGAGACTTCTTCAAGGGATATGATGTCAAACTCATTTTTAGAAGTACCTCTCTCTGCTGGGCCGCCTTCGTTGAATGCTTGGGTCCTTGATCAAGGAAGCTTGAAAAACGATAATGAGAAAGGAAGAAGTGATGTCAGAAAGCACAGCTTGAGTCCCATTCAGGAATTAGCTTCATCATCTTTGAGTGGTCTTTCCCTCGGTGAGAGTGAGGATGCTGTCATTCGATCGAGCCATAGATCTTCAACCAACCATTTCTCTCCCCCCGTATATTCAGTTCCAGTTCCATCTGCACCATTATTGCCTGATGATGCAGCATGGTATAATGGCATGCAATCTAGTGTTCCTGACTTGAAAACCTCTGGGGTAATCAACAGAACAGCAAATTTCTACGATGCATCTCAGATAAGTGCCTATTATGATGCTGCTCGCGGTGTGCTCCGTTATGATTCTCCTTTGCCAGGTTTCATGGATGGATACACCCCATTTGCTGGACTCACTTCGTCTGAATGGCTACGACAGTATAGAGAAAATCACAATCTTATTGGGGCCAATAGCCATACCCGGGCAGCTCATTATCTTGCAGCAGGACCCGGAAACTTCCCTGCTTGTAACTCTTCAGGGATTGGTCTTCTGGATAAATATGGAACTCCTACAGACCCAACAACTAACATGGACAGTTTACCATTTTATGCTGGAGTACTTCCTACAGGTCACAGGTTAGTTGATAACAGAAGGGAGAACCTCTTTAATGGCTATCAAAGACCAAACATGTACGGGTGTGGTGCCATGCCAGACCTTAGAGAAGATCCAAAGCCACTTATCCAGTATCTCAAGGAGAAAGAATGGCTACTACAGAGGGAGCAAGCCCTGAGAGGTGGTACATATCCCGGAAACTAACGTAACTGTACAAACAGTTATAGGAACCATTGTAATTCGCTGGTTCCTCGCCTTTGCCATCTTAACTCGGCATACAGAGTTACCTGTAGGTTTTGACATGAAGGAACTTGCAAGTGTGTATGTATATACGTATATTTATGATCTTGCTAGAGAAAAGATGAACAAGAAGAAGTTATACCCTCTTCATAATCTTAATGCATAATTACGTAATAATATGTCCATTCTCCTACTGCTTTTATACAATTACAGTTGATATATGATGATTACTGCTGTATCAGTCGATGAAGAATTTACTTCTTTTTAAGTTAATTCGTGCTATTAATCAGTAAATATATGGTAATCTTGCTCTAAGTAAAAGGCGAGGGTTAAATCTCGATCTTAATTTATGACTCGAATAATTCTGGGATTAAAGTCTGTAAATTAATATATTTGATGTTTTATGGTTGAAATTAGGCTAAAAAACTCTCACGGCTGAAAAAAAGCGAAATTGGGCCATGAAATGTTTTAATGGCAGCCCATTAACAACTGAGTTCTTAAACATCAAAATTTCCAGTCCAATCCAATGACTTATCCCTTTCAGTTCTTTCATCTCTCCCTCTCTCCTCGACTCCTCGTAATATCTGTAGCGGCAGATCAAAAGCTACCCACCAATGGAAGTCAAACAATCCAACAAATCAGACATATCATCAGCACAAGCAGTTCTACTAGGAGCTCTAGCTCCGGGTGTTAATGTTCGTACTCTTTCTCTCTCCTTTACATGTGTGTATATATATATGCGTGTTTGATTCAACATATATCAAATCACCTAAACTGGGGGGATGCAAGTTTTGATCTTTGATTTGGATACAGAATCCTACATGGAATACTATCAAATCAGCGTTTGTCATGTTGGGTCTCTGTCTTGCTGTTATGTTGGGGCTAGCGTTCTCAGCTAGCGACTCTTGGTTAATACTTCATGTTGCTTTTCTCCTTCTAATTGCTGCAACCCTTTTCTTGCTTCTTAGCTGGTATTTCAATTCTTCCTTTCAACTCAAATGCTTTTTTTTTCTTTCTTTTTTCTCTGAGCATGGATCCTTGTTGCTTGTTGAATATATTTTGTATTTCACGTTTTTATTTGTTATTGCCTGCTGGGTACTTCACTGATTTGTCATGTAAGGTTCTTTTGCTATTCGACTGCATAGAAACTGATCATACTTCTTACAATTTGCTTAGCAGTGAATTGATTTGTTAGTTTGTTGCAGAGGCATATATTATTGTTGATGATATAGAAAATATAGGAGGGATTCTGCTTTGAGGTAGCAGATTGCTTATAGCTTAGTAATGGCAATTAGATAACTTTGAGTTAAATTTTCATGGGGACTGTCTGATGCTTAAGTTCGTAACAGGTGGTAGTGTAGCAGAGATTTAACTGGTAAGAATACTTGAATGCCAATAATGTTTACATGGATTACTACTTCTGACTAGTAGTAGTTTGTTACTTAGATAGATTTCTTTACCGAGTTTCACTCTGGTTCCTTTCCCATAGACCAGTATATGTGTGGAAATCTATGCATTATTTAGTTTTTTTATTAGTCAAGCGAATACATTTACTGGCTTTAAATTGCTTGATTATAGTCCTTTAGGTTGTGGGATGGATTTTAGGTTTATCGGTTCTTTTTGAATCCCAATAGTCATATGACATAGAAAAGCTGGCCTCTGTTTAGATTCTAATTTCCCTCTTTATTATTCCTTGTGGAAATTCCAGACACAATGCCTTAATGGTTTATGTGAAATCTAAGCCCCTTTAGTAGGTTCAATATATGTAAGTTCATTGTCTCTCTATGGGTGAGGTTAGATATGTAATTATCTTGTTTCTTGCAAAAATGATTTTACATGTTATTCTAGGTAAGTAAAAGCATGATATTTGGGTTGAATTTAGGGCAAGATACTTTCGGCTGAGGAAGGATGGTTGTGGTTACAGGTATCTCTGATTGTGTCATTGTATGATATGAATTCTACAATGGAAATTTACCCCACATGATGTACTCATACATTCTATTTCTTTTCTGCTTAAAACACGTAAGTTATGAGAATTAGTTAGATGCTATATCGTTTTAATTTCATTAGCAAATGAATATTCTAGTTCAGCAGGTCAACTTAGAGATCTAGTTACATTAGATAAGCATGTTCAGTCTTGATGTGTTGTGTTCTGACATGAGTAGAAAAGTAAAATCTTTATATATTTTTTTTGGAAAGTGGGGAACTGGAGGTCTCTTTTTGGCCTAAGTTGAATATTGACTAAACAATATGAGATAATTCTCTACCTTGCAGCCTCTAGATCCCTAGTTGAGAATAGTTTGATTTCAAGTCCTTGTATATCAAAAGTTACTTTACCAAGTTAGCTGACACTTATTTCCTTGTTACTTTCTTTAGTCTAACAAGAGTAAACTGTTCCTCGCTAAATGATGTCCCTGCTGTAAAAGGTTATGGTCCATTCATCTCTTGTGATCTATATCTGTAAGGATATCAGTAAAATCCAGTTACATGCTGAGTGTAATTCTTTACCTTTATCAACAATTCTTTCTTTGCAGACTTGCGATATTTGGGTTGAGAGATCATATTAACAGTAGCTTGCATGGAAACTTCCTAAGCAGTGTTCTGTGCTAACTTGCGGAGTTTTATGCAGACAAAGTTTTGCTCCTAATATGTCACAAGAACCATTAAAAATTGAATTTTTAAGATTTGAAAGAAGATATCTCTGCTTATGTCTTGGGTTAACTTCTTAGCTTTCCCCAATGTAACTCTTGTAATTTTTTCTGGATATTAAGTGTTGGACCAAAAACCACGAATGTCGCATAGAAATGATTTTTTCAGTTATTGTTAATAATTCTAAATGTGCACAATCATATCAGAACTCAAGCTGTTTTATCTTTAAATCTTCATGTTGGATATATTTTGCAGGTTTCTCGCACAAACTGGTCTGGTTTCAGTTGAGCATCAAATGCGGGAAATGGATTTGATGCCAAATGATCTTAAAGGACAAGCAAAAAAAGCAAATTAGTTTATCTGATGTTTCTTGCACAAACTGGTCTGTTTTCAGTTGGAAATCAAATGCAGAGATGGTGCCAAATGATCTTACCAAGACAAAGCAAAGAAAGCAAATTGATTTTAGTTTTTTAACTTTATTCCATTGGAAGATGAATACATTTGATGCATTCCTGCGGAAAGAAAAGAGACAAGAAGGTTGGAATGAGAGCCATTCTTCTGTTCTTCTCTTGAAAAATCATAATTTGACCAGATGCATTTGTTAATCACTCTTCGTCTCCTTCTCCTTATGTTTGTTCTTCTTGGCCTTGACGAAGCAGAAACATGAACAACATGGGAGCTGAAACAAGAGCTTCATGTCTTTGTTGCGTTTGTGATTTGAAATGTTCGGTAAACCATAATGTATATAGAACACCCAGCTTTTATTTTATTACAATTATCATTATTATTATGTTGCTTTCCCCTTTAGTCGTTTCTGTTCTTTGATGCTATTCCTATCTTTTAAGAGATAAGGAGATGCTTTCCTTCTTATTTTCACATTCTTGGCTATTGGCTTCTTTATGTGCCTTTTCCTTGTGGAAAAAGCTTTCTGGGCAGGCAAGGAATCAGGAGCAGATGGGAAAAGTGAGAATATTGGATTTATTTATTCATTAATTTCCATGGACAAGAGGTTCAACTGAATAGGGTTTGATAAATTTGAACCTTAAGAAGTATTCAAGGACAGCTGGAATTTTTCTTCTGATATGTAGGGAAATCTTCAAAGCTTATTCAAAATTGAGTTAATATAAAATGTTGATTTATTTTCTACTGGGTTGACCATTTTAAGGAAATTACAAATCCAGAAGTTCTTGAGTTATACATGCATACTGCAGAAATTAAATGTTACTACCAGAAAAACTGATATGAGCTTAAATAAGGTTTTCTGAACCTCGGGATATTTCTCTAGTTCATAAAAACAAAGAACCTACTATTTGTTTTATCATTTATCTTTACTACTCTCATAGTTGTTAGTCCTTTTTCTGTATTTACATTGGAAGTTGAGATAGACCATTAGTCGTGAAACAGAAAAATGAAGAAGATCCTCATGGTCTAATCGAATCTCCTGTGATGAATGGTTGTGAAGTATGGGAACCTTGCGTATAAGATAGAATTGATATTCATTAGAAAAAATCACAGACTTCCGAGTTGGCAAAAGCTGTGGATGAGAAAGAATTTTGTTTTAGACTGAATTGCAATACAAAATCCTCTTGTACATGATCTACACAAGATTGTCAAAAGAAAATTGGAGCTGGTTGTAGAAAATCAATCACTTCCAGAGTTCTTCCATGGGAATTCCACGCTCACGAGCAACATCACGGAACTGTCTCATTTTCTGGACTGCAACAACAGTTGCTCTCGCATTGTTCAGTGCATTTTTACTTCTAAGTTGCTTTCCCAAAGCATTCTCAACCCCAGCCATTTCCAGAACAATTCTTACAGCACCTCCAGCAATCACTCCTGTACCTGGTGAAGCTGGTCTAAGCATAACCTTCGCAGCCCCATAGTCACCCTCAGATCTGTAAGTCATTGATAAACACAATCAAGAAAGGAATGATTTTTACTTTGGAAGTACTTTGTCCCTCAAACATATATCCTTAAAAATTGCCTTCACTATTCAATAAGAAAGCTAGATTGAGTCAAGGTAGCCAAGAGAATCATGTACACCTTGAATCTGGAAGGCTTCCTCCAAGTAGAAACTACTTATGCAGAATTCTTTTGTAATCTTTCAAATCCTACAATTTACTCTGAAAGGATATATCAAAAGTTTTTAACAAATGTCGAAACTATTAATGCAGACAAAAGGGCTACATTACTCAAGAACCATAAACTCTGAATATGATAATCATATCCCTCCTCCAAATATGAATTACATGAGAATAATTCAACCAGATATCAACTCGACACCTATGTTAAAATAAGGGCAAATACCATTTTAGTCACTAAACTAGGCCCTAAAAATTTTTTCCCCTGCACTTCTAAAGTTAGTGGGTGCTTGGGATTGCTTATTCTTAAGTATTTGTTTCAATCCCCCAATTTGGTGAAAAAGTGCTTGTTATATTCTTAAAGGTGACTTTAGGAAGGAAAAAATAAACACCCTATTTCTAAAATTTGAAGGATCTTTTTTTTTTTTTATATAACAAATTTAATTAAATGCCTACTTTATGTCTAGTTAAAGTTAAACAATATATAATGATATAAGTCATAAGATATCCATAGTAAATCTATTTTTTATTAATTTTTTATAAAAAATAACTTTATGTTTGCAATTTATACTTTATCCAAATACATAACTGCTCATCTTTTACATAAGAATCCATCTGCTTTAACCGCATTTCTTTGCTTAATCTCAAACACCCTTTAACAAAATAGTTATCAGAATTTAATTTACGAATGAATCTGTTAAGATCCATTCATAGCCACCACATAATCTAACATAGCCTTCAGAGCCACCGCATACAGCCATAACTCAACATCATCCTCAACGATTAAGAGCCATTATACATTGGAGCCTCATAGTCACTACAAATAGCTATAATTTAACATTAATTTCAATAATCAAGAACAGAAGCTAAAAAAAGAGACCATTTCCTGTTATCCAAATGAAAGTGGTGGGTACAAGGCTGTTAATTTAACTCAAGGACAATACATAAATAACTTCGAAATGCAAATGCTTGTAAGGAACTATTATCATCAGTTTTCTGGAACAAGCTACCTGTCTCTGTACTATTACATATTTACAGGAAAGCAGGAATATTAAATCATTGTCGATCATGAGAATCAAAACATCCAAATATCAGAAGAGATCTTGATAAATAGGATAAATCAAAAGAATTCCAAATCATTCTAAAGGGAAGGAAGAAATCAAATCTTCATTGGGTAAATGGAGTTAAATCAAACAAGGTTTCAAATGAAGTTTGACCTCCTATCTCAAACCACAAACTCCAAACTTACAAACGCAGGCGCAGGAACTAGGAACTAAACACTTTTCACTAATTTAACCAGAGTTCTTCAGTTGTAATGTTAGTTTCATCAGACAATTTTCGTATTTCAATTCAAGATATCACTATACCCTTGTATCCTCAAAGCATAAAATAACCAGAAAACCATAGAATAATACCCAACCAAAAACCAGAAAACTCGCACATAAACAATATTAAATCATCAAGTTCCCCAAATTCAAACGTTGAATTCTCATTCTCTTCACACCCATGAATCCTAACAGTTTACAATATCCATCCACAAACTTCAAACAGGTTCCCATCAAAATAAGTCAACTAGGAAGTTCACAAATTCATATTTCATATCCAAAATTAATTCACACCCACTAATCCTAAATGCAGGGGAAGATAACAAATAAAACTAAAACAAAAGGAGGTAGCTTACCGATGGGGAAACGTCAAGTACTTAGTCATAGGAACACTGACGATATTCCTCCTCGCATTCACCGCCGATTTTTGCACAGCCGCAATCACCTCTTTAGCCTTCCCTACGCCAACACCCACTTGCCCCTGCTTATCCCCGACCACCACAATTGCCCTAAAATGCAATTGCTTCCCTCCTTTCACCACTTTGGTCACTCTCCTAACCTGAACCACTCTCTCCTCTAACCCATCTTTCGGCTTCTCTTTCTTCACCTTACCAAACCCACTCGCCTTCTTCACCTTAGAATCCATAACATATATGTCATTTCCCAACACACTCTCCCCGCTGTACGCAGGTCCGTACATCTCCTCGTAAGCGGCGGCGATTTCTTCCTCAGTCTCCATTGGACCTTCGTCAAAGTAAGGAGGGGGAACAAAACCCTCGGGCCGCGGCGGGGGGTCGTAGACATTGTCGTCTGCTTCAGTGTCGACGTTTTCGAAGAAGGAGGTATCATTTTCGCTGGATTTGACTCTAACGGAGAGGGTTGCAGGTTTTGTTGCAGGGGAGGAAAGAGAGAAAGGTGAGGGCCTTGGGAGGTTAGAGAATGGGGATTTGGTGGGTTTTGTGGAGAGGGAAGAGAGGCGGGAGCTGTGGGTATGGAGGGAGAGAGAGGAGAAAGAAGAGAGAGCTGCTATTGTCGCCATTGGCGCTGTGATCAGTGGAATTAAAGAACGGTAAGGCTTCTTATCCTACAGCGAGAGAGATGGAGAGGGCTTTAAAATGGTGATGGGAGATGGGATGGCACTTTGGTAAAAAGAAGAACAAGAGAAGGTTAAAGTTGGAAATTTGTAATTTACCCTTTTGCCTTATCACATGAATGAGTTGAATAAATTTACTTTTCTTTTTTTGTCAAAGGAGTAAAGACTTAAATGGAGAAAAACAAATATTACCATATTGTTAATTAATTCTTTAAAAATATAAATATTACTATAATAATTAAATTAATTAATATATTTTAAATTGATTATTTATAAGAACGCCATTTATTTTTATTTGACAATATATCCAATTACAAAAATCATTACAACACGTGTAAATTGTCAACTATTTATTTTTATTTCTTATTAGATATAAAATTAGGAAATTCAAAAACGTGGGAAAGATCAAGAACTGACCTGTCCTCTCCATAAAGAAAAACTATTGACCGCTCAGACACGTGGCATCATTGCGGACACGTGTCTGTTTGCTATGCCGCCACCTTCTACGTTATTTCTCATTATAACATGCACCATAGCCGAAACCCCAACTGCAAATTACAACAGTGAAAGAAAGAGATCAGAACATACCGTTCGGGGGATTGAAGCATATACGCATACATATACATATACATATCCATTGAAATGGCAGCCATGTTCATGGCCAAAACCACCATGTTGAACCTCTCGAAAGCTTTCCCTCGAGCAACTTCGCTTCCTCTAAGATCATCGCGCAAAGCCTCTCGCGTCTCTTTCACCTCTGCCTCCAAATACGCAGAGGTAAAATTAACTAGCCATTGAAGTAATCCTGGTTTGTGCTTTATTGATGCTTAATAGATATAATGACTATATGCATATGTATATGTATATGGACGTTTTGAGTTCAGGGCAGAGGTGCAGGAGAAGATGAAAGAGACAGAGAAGCAAGAGAGCAAGCATCAGACTTGATGAATAAAGCTAAAGAGAAAGCGAGTGAAAGTATGGAGGACACCAAAGATTACGCTCGAGGAACCAAGGAGAAAGCCAAAGGGTACGCGCAGGAGACACAGGAGAAAGCTAAAGGGTATGCGGAGGAGACGAAGGAGAAAGCGAAAGAGTACGCAGACTCGACGAAAGAGAAGGCAAAGGAAGGGAGCCAGAAAGCGGCGGACACGGCGCACCAAGTCAAGGAAAGAGCAGAGGAGGGTGCGCACAGTGTGAAGGAGAAGGCGGCAGAGACGGCTCATAGCGTGGGGGAGAAAGCGAAGCAGACGGTGCAAGGAGCGTGGGAATCGGCGAAGGACACGGCGCGGAAGATCACGGAGACTGTTGTGGGGCCGCCGGAGGAGGATACGACAACGGGAGAAGACGTTACTGACTTGAGGAGGCGGCAAGGAGAGAAATTAAAAGATGACAAGCATAGAAATGAGAAGAAGACTTGAAGAAGGATTTGAGTATGTGGGTTTTTGTTTTTTTAAAGTAAATGAGAAATAATTAGGTAATGATGGGGGTGAGAATAAGTTAACGTTTGAGATGGTAATTATCTAGTCTTTAATTTCGTTAAAAAGAAATAGTTTTTACCACTTCGAACGAAGTAATTTATCTGCATATATCTCTTGAAGGAAATTTACATGTAGTTTGAAGAAATTTCAAATACAACTTTTATCATGCCTAATTTTAGCATGCAACTCCTTTAATTTTTAGTTGTCACAAGGAATTTCCAATGATTATACGAATCATATGGAGTATTTGGTGGGGCTATGGATACACCAACAAAAATGGGTTGAATGACTTGTTGTGCTTAATTGCATACTCTTTCTAGAGTTTCATTATGCATTTGAGTGGGAAACTAGGCCTACTCTAGAGAGGTGTCGGAGGCAGTTTCGCAGAAATAAATTTTAAACTCAACTTCAATACTGCAACAAGTTGTGGGGGGTGGGGACAAGTAGTCTTGGTAAGAATTGGAATGGCGAGCTAATTTTTACAGGAACAAAATAAGTCAGAAGTCTAAATGAGAAAATACGACAACTCTCATGCATAGCGAAGCATGATTTTTCCATAAGAGAATTCACTTCATTCTTCGCTTTTCTCATTAATTCGAATTCACATTTAGATTCAATAGCATTATCTTTGTTGGCATTACGATTCAAAATTTTTAAATTTAACCACCAAACCTACCCATAACTTGGATTGACTAACACCAAAAGAAAAAGTGAAATTGTAATATGTCAAAATATACTCTTAATTTTTCCACTCCTAGTGAAAAACAAAAAAGCTTTGTTTTTGTTTTTCCTAGAGGAGTAAAAAATTTACTTTAGACAAGAATGTGAGAAACCAAATTCCCTAGTTAATGGGGATAGGGAATTTTTTTCCCCCTTGATACCTTGTAGTATTCTTTTTTTCCCCTTGCAAGTACACAACGGGGATTGTGGAAGAAAATATCCCCCCATTAGAATAAATTCTAAGAAAGAAAAATTTGTCGGACTTGTGTAATCCACGTTATATATTAATTACAAGAGATTATTTTTTGAACACTTTAATGATTTACATTATACTTAAAATTGAAAAGGAGAATCTTAATTTCATAATTAAAAAGTTTTATTATTTATCTAAATAATAAGTAAATTAAATATTAAAAAAAAAAACATGATAAACAGAAAAAATATAGGCCCAGATACATATTATGATTAAAAATATCAATAATTAAAGCTACCTATGGGTTGAATCTTTTAAGCCCAACAGTCAAACAACAGAAAGTACGGTCAACAGCCCACCACGAGTGAGTGGACCCCACGTTAAGTGAATCATCATGATCACCATCAAGCGGAGGTGCCACGTGGCACAAAATAAGGAGCAATCAATTGCAATGGACATGGACAATAATGAACCTGCGGGATAGATGATATAAAATTGTCTTCTAGTTGTCAGCCGTGGGTACTGGAAGTAAAACGCTATCGTTTTGATACGCAATAGTGGAGCAGTTGTAACCTCTAACAGACGGTAACGTCATTACAGCCATTATTCACTCTCTCATGTAGGATTGCCACGTGCCACCCAACTCAGGCTGACGCAAACCTAGAACTGTTAATGACATCACAGCACGTGAGATGATTTGTTATGAAAATAATAATAATAGCTACTAAATCATTTGGACGTCCACCCTCTTCAATTTGAATAGTTGAAATTACCCTTCTCCTACTTAAAATCTCACAACTATTTTTAATGAAATAGTACTCTTAAATTGATAAAAAAAAAATATATTTTGATTCAAAAATTATCAAAAATAAAAAATTATGTTTAATCAATCACTTTATAATTTTTATTATTAAAAATATATATGATTTTTGATAAAATCATTGAATAAAATTGTATGATTATGATAAAAAAAGATATCTTTAAAGTAAAAAATTGACTAGTTTACATTGACTACATGCAGTAGGCTAATTGTCAACTCAAATGTTCTAAAATACATAACACGTTTTTAGATATACTTAATTTTTTAACTTGTTATTATGATACTTGATAAGTCATTTAAATAAGATTATATCATATAACCTTGATTCGTAACTATTGTCATGTATTGACTCTAGTAAAATCTCTATACTAATTTACCAGTTAAAGTTAATATTTTCAAGATTTTAAGTTCAATAATATTGTGGTTTCCAAGTCCTGGCTCATGGGTGAAAATCCGTTCCCATAACTTTATGCTTAGAAGCTTTCTATGTGTCATTAAATTGGTGACTCGATAAATAATTCAGTTTTGATGTTGGCTTTTTACTTTAGTAACTTACGACTTTTATTTTTAATATAGTTGGTGTGTAGCGCCCGGGAAATTGAAGAAGAAAAAAAAAAAAAAAAGGGGTCACGTCAGCAGACCCAGTCAGCAGTCCCGGCCAATCGGGACCTGCCACGTGGCAAGACCACGTCGATCCGGGACGGACCACGTTGGCGATCCGCATATGCACGATCGGACGGCCCAGATCAAACGTGCGATCAGACAGCTCAGATGCAATCGCACGGACGGCCCAGATTGAATCAAAAACGGACGGCCTAGATTAAAACAAAATGGACGGCTGAGATCAAAAGGCAAAAGAGTATAAATAAGACCCCCACACCATACCACAAAACCCTAGCCGCCTGCCCTCGTCGGAGAAGACGAACCAGAAGCCGGCCGCCGCCACCCGCTGTCGCACTGGAGGGATTTCCGACCGCCGATCGAGGTAAGTTTCATACACTCGACTCGTTTTTCCACGCTGATTTCTCCTGTGGCCAAATCGGAGCCAAAATCCCGGCCAAACGACTGGAAAATACGGCCGAAACCTAGCGGCGCTGCCGCGCCCCTCTTCGGTTTTTGCCTCCGATGAGGCCCTTCCCGGCCTCCGTTTAATGCAATTTTTATATCACCGTGATCACCATTCTTTTCTCTACAGGTCGATCGGAGCCGAATCACCAAAACACGAACTTCACCGGAGAGCCGCCGCACCCGAGAGCACCGCCGCCGGTAAGCTTCAGTTTTCCGTAATTTTTTGGCCCCCCGAGGGCCCTAGAGTTGTTTAATCGCAAGGATCGATGCAAGTGTGGCCGAATTCGACCGGAAACGGCCGAAAACGGCCAAACCGAGGCGAATCGCCGCCGCAAGCGGCAGCGCCGTCGCCGAAGCACGGCGGAGCCGCCGTGTCGGAGTTGCGATATTGGCCAAAAGGGGCCCTGGGCCTAATTTGGGATTTTTTGGAACACGTGCAGGTACCAGTAGTGCGTTTCAGTTCCCCGGAAAAAATTCAGGGAAAATTAGAGACAGTCTGTAGGCGCACTGTGAAGCCGTGTTCGGACCCCGAAACGAGTAAGGACCCCTCACCCTATCTCCTATCACGGTATTAAATTTCAATAAATGATAAAACGGTATTCCATGAATCAACGAATGTGTGAAATTGGTTAAGGTCGCTAATGGAGCCCGAGTCTAGTGTGTTTGTCGGTTAACTGTTATTTGGCCTGTTTTACAGTTTTAAATTCAGTATGAGGTTTGATGTTTTCATTTTATAGTTTCGTGTGCATATTTTCCTGTTTTACTGATTATGAATTGAATGATTGGGATATTGATGTTGTATGTTGTCTGTTTGGCATAAATTATCGTTTGCTTGTTTGTATGTGGATTGATAATGCTGACTGAGGAAAAAGAGAATGAAAGATTATGTAAATGGGTAATTGTATAATGTGGTCAGCCTGACTAGATATCCTGGGAGATGGTGGATGGACCGGGTCCGTAGGGAACCCTACCGGGATTGTGGTCTCCCATACCGGACGGGGTATGGAGACCTTATGTATTTTGGCGCCCATACCGGACGGGGTATGGGGACGGCCTGTTTCACCCTCATACCGGACGGGGTAATGAGGTTTATAGTTTTGGTGCCCATACCGGACGGGGTAAGGGGACGGCCTTGTAATCTGATTTCAAGTGTTAAGGGTTAACGGGTAGCGGGACCCCTATGGATCCCCATGGATACTAGTGGGCTGGTAAATGAGGAAAATATGTTGTGTAACGATTGAATTACGAAAGGCTTGATAAGTGTTATGTTATACAGTTTATATATGATTTCATGATGATGATGATGTTATTGCTTTCGTATATTGTTTTTATGAATTTCACCGAGGTAAGTGAATGGTAAAGGTTTTATTATTGATAAAAGGATTTGTTGTAAATTATGCTCCATTTGTCTTTTTGTGTTTTCTACCCACCTTTACCTCCGTGACGGTGAGATATCGTGATGTCTTTACTGGGCTAGTGTAGCTCATTCTTTATTTAATCATTTCAGATCAGGAAGACATTGTTCCCGAACCGGTTCCGCATGAGGACGACGAAGGGGACGCCTAAAGACTCCATAGTCATATTCGTAGCTTTTACTTTCAAGTTTCTCCTTTAGGTAGTTTGATCTTTTATATTGTGAGCACGTTTTTGGTTTTAGTGTAAGGGATGTTAATCGAATTTTTGATTTCGCTTCCGCATTTGCTATTTTTAATATAATTTCATTTTAAATTTCCGGGGTCGTTACAGTTGGTATCAGAGCCGCATTTCCTTGAACCCATCCCTTACACAATAGTGCCTTAGAGAAATACTCACCGATATATCGTTACTCAATCATTCCTTGTGAATGCAGGTACACGGGAATGAGGAGAGAAAGGCCCCCACTAAACCGAGCGGCCCCAGATAATTCACTTCGGGAGGATTTAGATAGACTATTCGAGATGGTGAAGGCTCTCGTAGCTGCCCAGCGAAGGCAAGAGGAGAGAAGGGAGTTACCGGGACCTCCTCCGCTAGTGCAGGTTGAGCCCCCACTACAGCAGGCTGATCCCGAGCCACCCCGGCAGGAGCCTGTTCCTCTACAGTACCACCCGGCACAACAGCCGCGGTACGACCCGGTACCACAGCCACAGTACCAATAGGTGCCGCCACAGCACATTCCAGTGCCCCCACCACATCAGCAGGCGCCACCACAGGGTCCCCCAGTTCACCCTCAGCC